CTCAGCTGTGTAAAACTGAGTAAGCATGAGGGTAGTTACAGTGTAGGCATCTGCATTCAGTCACATGAACCTCCATCCTACAGTTAAAAGAAACAGCAAAACTCACAAAAGCAGAAGGAGAAAGAAGAAAAAAGAGATGATATTCTAGAGAAAAGAATGACAAAATTTGATGGGAATGAGGATGGAAAAACTATGCTAGTTAGCCTTTTACGCTCTCTGTCTTTCCCTACTCCAGCTCATTTACAAAATGATAGATTATTTTACTCTTCTGAGTGTCAACTGTAGTTCACAGCTTCTTTTCTGTGTTGGTGACATTTTTCTCTCGTGAGCACTTTTTGGAGTACTGACATAATTTTTGATCTTTAAAATAATAAGGCTGGATGTCTTTACAAGTCAACTGTATCTCTTCACGTGTGGCCCCTTGTCCTTGCCTAGCTTCTGCGTAGTTCTGTGTACTGATTTGCTGATTGTCACAGTATCTGCTTCTCCAAAATGACTTCATTCGTTATTTTTAGTATTTTTATTTACTGCCTGTTTGGTACAGAACATCTGCCTCCATCTACAAAGCACACTGCCATATCTTCAGGACACTGTCTTGAGTACCTGGCTGTGGTTTTTTCATGAGAAAATATAATAAACTGAGGTATGATTTGTTATTTGCCTCTCTGTATATGAGAAGATGGTATCCCACCAGTTTTGTGTCTTAATTCTTCAGAAATTCTTGGGAACTACCTACTAGTATAGAACTCCTGTAACAGTGGGGAATCAATCGGCATATGGCCTTTTTGAGCAGTGCAGTTGAATTAATCTCACCTAACTTTAGATGACTGCAGTGCAGATTGGTGCATATAAGCTAGTCATCCAAGGGTCATTTTGGAGTCAAATGTAAGTGATAGGTGCATTTAGGGTACAACTCATCTGTTTTGAGATAAAGTGCACGCAGGATTGACTGATTCTGTCCATTGACAGCATCTAGAAGTCTAAACAACTAAACTACCTGTAGACAGAGATGCCACAGATACCTGTATTTGGTATCCCATGCTGTGTGGCTGTGTAACAATACTTTGTAGTAAGCAGTTGTGATATTTTCGTGGTTTCAAACTTAAAACATGGTTGTTGTTTTGTTTTGTTTTGTTTTGTTTTGTTTTTTCCCACTGATGAAAATTCCATTTAGTATTTTCTTTTGTATAAGAAGTGATTACAAGATGTAAATTGCAAGTGAAATAATTAGTTTAAGAATTCAGATATTGTAAAATCAGATCAACTAATTAGAGAATTGAATTAACTTACAGTATTTGTGAACCTGTAGTGATGTCACAGAATCACAAAATGTAGGAGTGAGTCTTTAAAAATTAAATTCATTTAATCTGAGATCAAAGTTACAATCTCATTATTATTTTTTATGCGTGGGAATTAGACTGAATGCCTTAACTTAAAATGCCTCTGCTTTTTCTGGATATCAAAGACAAATTCAGCTCACATATAAAGGAACGTTGATCCTCATTTTAATAATGGATGATCTTTACTGTAGTGTAGGTGTGAGTTTGTTCAGAGAAAGAAATCTATGTAACGTTCACTCCATAAATGTACAGCAGGTTAGCCACTGTTGGCTAATTGTCCGGCTAATTTCCCAGGAGTGCTTTGCAGAGGGAAGGAGTGCACATGCAGTTAATTTCCATGGGACAGCTGATTTTCTGCCTTCCTTCCCTATAGCATCTGTCTCACTGCTGAAGCTGAGGAAGCTCCAGCTGTTCACAGTCTGTAGGATGAACATGCTAGGTGATCCTCACTGTATGACTTCACTGTCGTGTTGCTCAGTTTCCATTTATGTAATAGCAAGGATATTGATATCAGTGTCTCACGAAGCACTTTGAAATCTGCTAATGAAGGGTAGGTATTTCACCAGAACCAGGTAGTGCCATTACTCATTGGCACTGAGTGAACTATTATTAAAGCACAGTACATAGCTTTTCCCTAGCTTGAGTAAGCTTTTGTATTGTCAGGAACATAGATACATTGAGTGAATAGGAAATAATTACTTTCCACTAGACCTGTTAAAACCAATGCACTTTACCTCTTGACAGAGTACTGAGTCATCTACTGCCTTGAGGAAAGCACTTAAATCATCTGTAAGTGGTCGTGGTGCCCTGTGAGGGAGCCAGATTCACTTCTCAAGACTCCATACATCATTCCTCAGTTGGACGAGTGCTGGCAGAGCAGAAGTAGCCCTGAGAGTGAAGTGGGAAGCAGATCAGTTGCGTGTCAGGGCATTCAGGGAATAATGTTGACAGGTTCCAAAGATCATCCTCTGCAGTAGGGCAGGTTTGTTGTGATTTAGGATTTATACATATGTAGGTTTAGGTCTACATCAGAGAAGCTTTCAGAAGTATGAAAGCAGAAGTTCTCTGGATTCCGTATAGTTGACTGCTTGGTAGGTGAATATACAGTGAAAATACCAGCATTTGGGCCATTCAGATAATCCAAAAGATATGTATTCAATTGCTCCTGTAACTGAAGATACTGTACATACCTTCTTTCCCTCCTTAGAATCATTAGGGTCATCCTCCATGCCTAGCTTTTAGGAAGTCCTCCTTCTTTATTTCACTTACTCTGATCTTTCAATCCTTCTCTCTGTAAATTTATTTCTCTTTGTATCCAGTCATTATCAGTGTTTCTTGTCTTTTCCTTTCCCTCTCAGAGCTGGGGATGTATCAATTGCATCTTCTTTGGAATGTATTTCTATTCTCTCTTCTGCCTCCTTTCAAGGTAAAAAAAATAATAAAGTAGTGAAATACGTGGTTTTCTTCCATTCCTTCCCCCATCTCTTTTCACTTCACACCAAGGGACTGCATTTGCTCTTCTGTTTCTTGCTCTTTCTCTGGTTGTCTGGTTTTCTCTTTTTCTTCTTTTCTTTAGAATCCCTTTCCTTTCTCTCTCTCTTGTTTCCTATACTATTTTTTCAGCAAATAAGTCATCCAGATAGGCAAGCTGTGTGGGGAAGATAGCAGAACTGGGACAAACACATTGTTGTTCTGGATGTTATAAATGGACTTCTGGGTTTCCTGAAGGTAATTAGAAAGAAATTCTAAAGTATCTGTGAAAATGAATAGATCTGGAGAGAGTATTCCTGCCTTTGTATCTTAGAGCTCCTATTCAATCTTTATTTGCTTTTTTTATTTTATCTGCTGTGTAAAGGCCAAAGTTCCATCCACTATGTGACTAAATGAGAGCTATGAGAGCAATTTTATATTTATTTCATGTCTTTCTGATGGTTCTTGGTCCCTGGATAGAAAAGACTGTATGGGAAAGATCATAGGTATTTGTTTGCTTACTTCTCACAGAAATTGGTAGAGCTAAGGTACCTATATGAATATGCATCCATTATTAATATTTGAAATTTAGATACTGATTAATGAACAGAGGGAATACTGACAAATGAGTGGCAAAAAAAATATGTTTGTTGTCAGGGGTTTGGACAGATACATTTTATGTATGGCTTTTTTTTGGTTCTGCTTCAAATATTTTTGGTTGCACTGCCTAAGTTACTTACCAAATAAATTGGATTTATCTGCTTATTAGATTCTTTTCTGTCTGCTGTTTATCTGCTTACATAGATTTATCTGCAATTTATCTGCTTAAGCATCTCAGAGAACTTTATTCACTCAGTTCCTCTGGTAAAATGAGGGTAATAACACTTCCTGACCTATAGTCTTGACTGCTCAGGTAATATTCTGTGTGGACAGGAAGAATATTCCATACTGCTGTGTGTTCCTGATATGATTGGGCTCTCAGTAAGATAAGGTACTACCATAAAAACACAGCACAGTGTTAATAATGCAAGCATCTTTTTTCTTTTTTTCTTTTTTGCTTTATGCAGTGTTCATTTCTTGTAAGCAATTACAAGCATCTCCTGAATTCATTCTTTTTTTTTTTTTTTCTCTTCATTTACTTTATGAACTATATATTATTTTTTGCTATTTATGTCCTTTTGGCTTTAGTACCTGATAATTTTTGAATCTGTGTAATGTAACTTTTTTTTCTCCCCTAATTAGCATCAGTCTAATTCCTGAACCTACATCTGTAGCAGAGGTTGTTGAATTCCAACGTCTTGTTTTCTTGCAGCCTTTGATTCACTGTTTTTAAATCAGAAATGTCCTCCCTCTCATACAGAGATCATTACTAAGTGTAACATTTGATCAATGGGACTGGGAGGCTGATTTTCCTGATTTGACTGTAGAGTAAGACATTATGACTAGATAATCTGTTCTGCAAATGTATTTTTGCTTGAAATAGAGCACTTGTACAAGTGGAAAATATACAGAAGTTATGGTCATACTGAGAGGAAGTAAGAAAGCCCATGGGGTGCCTTAAAGAAAGCTAGTGTGTCTGTGGTTCTTGATGTAAGTACTGACAATTGGAATCATTTGTAAAACAAAAGCAATTTTTTAGATCTCAATCCTTTGCCTGAAGGGACAAGAGGATAGAACTGATGTATGTACAGTAAGTATATTATACAAATACTTAGATCTTTGGAAGACTGTGAGAGTTAAACTGACTGTTAATGAAGTCAAGTATGGATATCAACATCTTAAAAATGAAAATGAAATGATCCACTTCTAGATCACCACATCTTGAAGGCTTTTTTGAAGGAAAATGTTATCACTAAACCCTGATTTACAATAATGTAATTAATAGAAGAATATTATGAATAATTATTGCTGTATATTTTGTCATGGACATCATATTTTGCCTCATTGAAAATTGCACAATAGTGCTGAGTGCACATGAGGCTGGTAACAACTTGATCATTTTTCCTGGTAAATCTTTGTCTTATCTTTTATCTCGTTTTTTAGTTTCAGTGCAATTAAAAATTATTTAATAATCTCAAACAATTTTCCAAGATTGTATTGTTGGATACAACTGCATACTTCAAATTGTTATTAGTTTTGCACATCAATATTTAACAATAACAACTTACTTTTCTGAATTATTTCCCGCAGGGTGCAGCTTTAATTCGAATGCTGGCTAATTTTATGGGTCACTCTGTGTTTCAAATGGGCTTGCAAGTAAGTAAGATATTTCTGTCTTTGTCCAAGTGCGTATTTCTAGGAGCTTGTCTCACTTGTACGTTTTTTCTTTTTAAACTATCATATATTTGTGAAAATGTTTCTTTAATTCAGGACTGTCAGAGGCACCAACATATCCTTGAAGCTGACTTTGATAGAAAACACTGGGCAGTGTAGCACACAGGGTGCTGCCCCTGTAAATGAAAGCTTCACCTCTATCTCTTGGTGTACGTAGATATTGGGCTTTAGCTGACACACTGTTTTGTGTCTGGTTTGTGCACATTGCCAGGTAGTGGCTGTTTAGCCATATGACAGCTGTGTGCAGGGCTAGCTGAGGAAGGAGCTGCTTCTGTTCAATTACATTTGCATGCTGATATGAAAGTCAAGGCAGCTAGAAAATACATAGCCCTAGAAACTAGTAAGTGCTTTTCAGATAAATACTTTTGCCTTTCCCTGCCCTCCACATAAAATTCCTCAAGCTTTATTTTTGCCTTTGATAAACATGGAGAGCTCTCTACCCTTAACAATGTCTTCAAAACTCACTTTACCTTTTAAAAGAAATCTGAGGAGGTAACAATTCTGTATGAAGAAATTCAACATGCTGATTATTAAGGACGAACTCTTTTCAGCAATAATTCAGTGCAAATGACTGTTTCATAAACTATTTAAAAACAAACAGGCCAAAGCATAAAAAACAATGCAACTCCCTCTATTCCATGGAATTCTGCTTGAGTAAATCATGTTACAGGCAGCTGTGATTGATGAATTATGTATGATGCAGCTTGCTACTTAGAAGTGTCCTTTAAAGTAAATTGATGTTCACCTGAAATACAATTATGCTAAGATGGAAAGAGCAATCAATCTTATCTGTTCTTAGTAAGCTTTTCATTTTGAAATTTAAATAAACTATGTCTGGGATCAGGTCATTTTTTAACACAATAATTCTACTTCTAACCACAATGAATTGAAAGACAAAAATATAAAACAAAGTTCCATAAATGCTTTAGTTATATTGCAGAGAAGTGTATTCCATGCAGTAGGCAATGTAAGGAAAGAGGAAAATATGACTTTTTTGGAGGGTTTATAGGACATTTGTGTTTTGCGTGGGACCCATTTAAATCTTTTCCTTAGCTATAACATTTGGTCTGATCACTTAGTTAATTTTATCTGATTTCTTTTTCCTAAGATCTTGTATATGTAGATATTGAAATCCTCATCTCATTTAAGCCAAGAAGATTTCTGTCATTAGTCCAGCAGTCTATATTTCAACTACATTTCATAAGGAAATTCAGTTTTGCTAAAAGTGCATTTCACTGAGAATTGGAGAAAGGGAGCATTTTTATACATATATATCAAACCTCCTTTTTCTGTTTGCCTTGAACAGAGTTAAAGTTGTCGTGGAATAAGTTAAAGAAAAATACTTTAAATCAAACAAAATAATTATAATCTAAAAAATCAAAGTTGCAGTAAAGTTGGTGTTCCTAATACTTTCCTTTTATTTTTCCTTTTCACTGTTTCTGCTCTAATAGAAACTCTTCCTTTATCAAAGCCGGTGAAAAATCTGTGAAAATCTAACTTGTGGAAGTCTTAGCATCAGTTCAGTAGGATGATATTCTGCTTCTGCTTATAAAAAACTATTTGAAATCCAGATGGAGATTTTCTGTATGTCTGACTCCAGGTTGAACAAAATAAAGCACGGTGTTCATGAGCTTGTTCATAAGCTACAAGTTATGTAATTGGAAGTGGCTGTCATTCATTTAATTCTTTTGATTCTTTGTGAATGTAACAAAATAACATTGACTATGTTCTGTAGAGCTGGGATGCTAGCTTTGCTAATGATGTGGGAAATGGTATAACTGATTCACCCTTTCTATCATTTTAGCTCTTTAGCCCCAGTAGTGTTACTTGGGATTTAGCATGAAGTTCCCTTGCATCCAGTTTTATTACAGAATTCCAGTGTTAGTAGCTAAGTGGCTTTTTTCACATATTGCTGCAAAAGTAAAGCATCATTACTATTATTTAGAAATCTCTTCAAGTAACAAATACAAAAGTACAAAAGTGTACTTGGTGGTTCATTCCTGCTCATTCTAATGGCTTTCTGAGAAACTGAGTTCTGAAAGACCTTTGCTTTATCTTACTGACCTTATTTGTTATTAGCCTCCAGTATGTAAAACGCATCAGTGTTAATATGATCATTATTTCAGTTCTTTTTATGAGTTATGTCCTTAGTGTTTCACAGATGACAAAAAAGAATATTTGTGTAGTTTTATTGCACCACCATAGATCAAAATGAGTAACCTTTTATATGCATTTGCATGGAATGCTTGTGATTACACTGAAGTCAAGGTATGATTCATCATCTTAGTAAGAGTTGCAAAATTAGAGCTTTTATACAATGCTAACAAGCCTTTGGCTTAAAGAGAGGAAAGGATAAAGTTTAAAGCAAGAAGCTAGTGGCATGTCTACCTTTTTTGTCTCTTGCCACTTACATTTTCTGAATCTAATTACATGCTATCACCTGGCAGGTGGATATTATGAAGAAGTCAAGATAGCCTGTCAAAGAAAACAATCAGTTGTGTTAAAAATGAAACTAAAAAGTTGATGAAGGGAAACATGGCTCAATGCTGGATACTATTTGATAATTAATGTGAACTGAAGAATGTGTACAAAGGTGCCCATGATGCCCAGAATTCAGCAAACCATTTTATTGATGAGTCTGTGAAGATATAAAATATGAACCATGGCAGTTTTATAGAATACGTGGTTTGGACAGATTCATATCTACTGAGGGTAACTGGCCCATTTCTATCACAGTAAATATAAGGTGGATATATAGTGTAGAACTTCCATTGTAAAAGTGCAGCCAAGAGAATTCCTAATGAAGATACGATTTTCTGGAAGCCCTGAAGAAAAGATGTCTCGAATCATGTGACAGTATCAAGCACAAGATTTAGTTACAAAGACAGATCTTTTTTCACTGTTTTCAGATGGCATGTCACAGACAAATCCAAGGGGGAATCCACTTACGTTTAATGACTGAATAACAACAGTAACTGTTACCACAGCTGATAACTGTTGGATACAAAAAAGTCACAGCTATCCTTCCTGTAGAAAAAAGTCTAGTGACACCTTCCTTCTCATACTGGATGATACGTTTCTTGTTAATAGTCCTGACTTCTTTCTTGATGTGCCAAATTTAATTTGCTCCAGGAAAGCTGAAAGGGTGAACGTCACTAAATACCAGTACTCTAATTACAAAGTGTTGCTTTTCAGTCAAAATGCCATTAATCTGGTAGAGCATCAGTTGGGAGTATGGAGAGGCTTGGTCAGCAGAAGGCACCAAAATTGGCCTTATCATTCAGTAACATGCAATATAATTTTAGATTTGTATGAGATTTTCACCTGTAGGTTGTTGTTCTTAATCTGTGTGCTTGGAATGAATTATTGCTACTTAACTTCTGTTACTGTATTACTTTTCTAGGAAAGTTTTATAGGTTTACTACAAGACATCTCTTAAAGTTATCAGTGTTTTTATTTTTTTCTCATATCAGAGAAAAAAGCCTAGAGATTTGAAGGTCTGGTACTTAGATGTGTGTAAAGAAACACCTTCAACTCTGTAAAGAGACCATTCTGCAGTGGTTAATTTACATTTTTCTTATATTAGGTTGATTATTTTGGAGATTCATCTCTATTACTCTGTATCTGTCAACACTGCATTTCATTTGCCACGTGGCAGCTCATTGATCACACAGATCTGTATCCTTTTGAACTTCACTTGCTGCTATGTATGTGTTCATCACTCACTCTGATTTAGTGCATCATCAGCAGTTTGAATTAGTTACCAAAGGAATCCCTGCTTCCGTGTGATAAATTAACTGCTTTTGTACTTTAGGCTTCACATTGTGAAGAAAAATTTCCATACAGTTCTTTGGATAGACGTTGTCTTTTTTTGGTGCTGTGGTCACCATATTGAAACAAATTGGTCAACCTTTCAGAAGATCTGACTGGGGAAATCTGGAATGCAAGCAGTTAAATAGAGCAAGGTTCAAATTTCAGACACTTCTTACTCTCATAAAGCTGGCTAGTTAGACTGAGCTTCTTTCATTTACACTGCTTAGTATTTCCAACTTTTTAGACATCTCTGTGCATACCTATACTCTTTGAATTGTTGCAACACTTAATGTGGAGCTCTATCTAAAACTTTCTAGATTTAAAATAGAGCTCTAATGTGCTATCTTCTCTATTGTTCACTGCTTCTATCCAAAAGCCTACTACTTTTATACATTTTATTAAACAGACTTAAATATACCCATTTTATCTTACCTATTTATTATATCTTTATTCCCAATTCAGGTGTATACTGTTAAAAATTGAACATCATTAAAGACTTGTCAATGGAGTTTTCTGTAAAAACGAAAGGCTTACTTCATTAAGCCTTAGGATTAGGCTTAATGAAGTAGTCTTCTGTGATGCTCTCCCTAGAATAACAGTGAACGTGGAACTCTCTTGGGTCTTCCTCAGCTCAGTGAGAAGACACAAACTTTTGCTAGCAGGCAGTAGCACCTTCACAGATGGCAATGTTCTGATGTTGCAGTTCTGCTGTCTTGTGCATTTAGTATATTCTGAGTGAAGTGCTTTTCTGCTAATTCAGCATCCGTTTGCTTGGGTTTAGAAGAGTGCAGAGTATATGACTTCGACAAACATCATGGGTGATACTGGCTGTGACCTGTACTTTAGAGCTACTGATCCCTTTATTTTTTAAACTCTTCCACTTTTACTGACAGTTGTCAGCAGAACAGCTTGAGTTTGTTAAAAGCAGGACGTAGGAATTCATAGGAAGTCTCACAGGAGCTGACATCACTGTTTTCTGCACTGCATGTCATACGAGACTGACAACATCTTTTGTCCTTTCTGGCCCCTCAGCATTTATTGTTCTTCCTTTTTACATCATTCTGGATTTTAGGTTTACATTTTTAAATGAATTCAGTGCTATGAAGTTT